TGGCTGGCTGGCTGGCTGGCTGGCTGGCTGGCTGGGTGGGTGGGTGGGTGGGTGGGTGGGTGGGGTGGTGGTGGTGGTGGTGTTTTGCTGGTTGCGTATTGTGTGTTGTGTTGTTGCTGGTCGTGTAATTATTGTGTGTTGTGTGTTTGTTGGTTGTGTTTGTTTGCTTGTGTATTGTGTGTTTGTATTTGTGGCTGTGTACTTGTGGTTGTGCGCTGCGTGTTGTGTGTTTGTGGTTGTGTGTTTGTGGTCGCGTGTTGGTGGCTGTGTGCGTTTGTGGTTGTATGTTGTTAGTTGTGTTTGGACTTTGGTGGCTGAATAATGTTGTAAAGTATAATGTTGGTTGTGTGCTGTGTATTGTGTTTGTGGCTGTGCTTGTGGCTTTGTATTTTTGTGATGGTGTGTTTTGTGTGTGTGTGTTGGTTGTGTGTTTGTGGTTGCGCTTGTGGTGGCTGCGGCTGTGGTCGTGTTCTGTGTTGTAAGTAGGTTCAAGACTGCCCACGGCGATCTGGCGCTTGCTGTGTGGGGTCTGAAGAGTGCTGTTGGGGAGCCGAGAAGGAGAAGGAGCGGAGAAGGAGAAGCGGAAGACACCACACTTAAAAATCTAACAACCTTTACCTGACAGGTGGTGAAAGAACTCACAAGCATTGGCAAGTGGATGCAAACGGTTGACGTCGGCAGATTCACAAACAATCTTGACTTCGTCTTGGAGAAAACCTGGACTTGGAGGGGAACACCATGATTCATGGCTTATCCACCTATTGGTCCGAAGAGACAAGGCCTGGTCTGTCATTTTCTGCTCTGGCTGCACGAGGGCTGTACTAAACTCTGAGGCAATCCCAGGGAATTTCCCCCGACCGCCAGCTACACCAACTTCAGCTCCGAAACTGATGTGAGCAGAGCAGGCCTGGTCCGGCCGAATCCGTTTTAATGACCGTGACTGTGTTGTACATGACAGTCTCATGACAGTCTCATGGTGGCCTCAGAACTCTCAGGCTCAGAAGGACACTGCAGAACGATGAATGTCATGCGTTTCGAACGATGAATGAATTTCTGCCAATCACTGGCAAAGCAATGTCAGAGTGCCTTCCGGAAAAGTTCTTTCGTCTGCGGCGATAGTATTCAATAGTCTCTTGCGCCTTCCGCAAGGACCGTGTGAATAGTAGTACATGCTCATGCCTACAGGTCAATGTCGAGTTCAAAGTTCCAGCAAGCAGCAAAGCTTCTGGGGACTGAGAACAAGCATATGATGGCGAAGAAACAGCAGGCAAAGGCTTATTGTCTAGTGGTTGGCTAACCTGCACCAGTGCTTGACCCATTGCCCAAATTTCAGCGTTGGCTAACATGCAAACCTAACACTGATGAGCCTATATGTTGAGTGTCCAGCTTGGCCGTTGGTGTCCGGTTATCCACTCAGGCATTCTGACTCAGGGCATTCTGCACAGCCCAAAACCTCCAAACTTGGCAAACAGTAATTACACATACATTCTCCGAGCAGTTCACCAAGAAGCACATCCGCCGAATTGCTTGCTGTTCACCAAGCAGTCTGTGACTTCAATGACTTACACCAGTTGTTTGCCGGCCTGAAGGTCCACCTCTTTAGACAAAAAATGATTGCCATGCGAAAGCGCCACACCCTCTTCAGAACGTGCATGCTCTTGCCGGCACAGCCGTTTTCAAATGTTTCTTTATGGCACGACGCTGCCAAGATCTGATTTGCGCACTCCCCGATTTCCCTTCAATCATGATTCTGCCGCAAATTGTTTGCCGTTTCGTGCGCTCATTTGAGGGTCAAGGTGGATCCTACATGCCCTTTTCTTTTTGTTGGTCCAAAAACAAAATACATCCAGCATTAATCTCGGCATGTCTTGGCAATCCACTGCTGATCACTGTAGCTTGAACAGGACTTCAATTTGCAAGAATCACTTGTTGAGTCAACAAAGTGCTTTGGGGAATAACAAAACCCTTGGACAACACGTACAGTTCTCTTTCGTTTGCTGTCTCCACTACTTCATCCATTTGCTGACCATTGGACAAGAGCGGAACACCAGGCCCCCGAGAGCTTCTCAAGGCTGGACCAATTGAAAGCCTTCTGGACTGTCTATCGCGTCCTCAACGACACGGATGAAAGCGTTTTCTAAGTAACACGTGCTTGAACTTTCTTCACTCATCGTTGACACTAATTACGAGAAACAGCCAAGGTGAAGCAGTGGGAGTCAAATCTGGCAATCGTCATCTTGAGAGATCTCTCGGAACCCAGGGTGATCCAGGGTGTATCTGTGCAATTTCGTGCCAGGTGCCAAAGCTGTGGAACTCTCAAATCTTCGCGCCAACCCCAAACAGTTGTCCCAAACGCCAAAGCTGCGGGGTCCTCGGAGTCCACCGGTTTGCCAGCACCATCCCAGCCCACCAGAACGATATCTTCGTCCTGGCTTCGACAGGTCCAGCGGGCGAATTGACGAAGGGTGACGCCTGGAAGGTCGCTTCCAAAGCGACCGTACAACAGTTACCTTGTAATGCGCAAATTAATTTATCTGTATACTTGATTATACTTGACGATATACTGGAGGGGAATTGCGCCGTTCAATCCGATGTGGACATGCATTTGGTAATTATCGTGTATAACATTGTATAACTACCCGGCCCTGGCCGCCCTTCATCTGGGACCCGGCTGCCTCTTGAGCCTCCTTCTCTGCCGCCTTCGCATGGAATGCCTTCACCTTGCCAGCTAAAAGAGAACACGACACGAACGCAGTGGAGTCCTGGTATCCATGCTCCGGGGTGACAAATCCTTTTTGGCGAAAGGATGAAAGTGCGAGTGCAACGAGAGTTGTACTTGCCACCTTTTTCCATGCCAGTAAATTGGTGGGCAAAAACATGCAAAAGCATCAAAGCTGAAACAATAGATCATGTGACCTAGTGATTTGCTAGTTGCGTGTGATTGGGTATCGTAAACCTCGGAAGCCTGTACACGCTACGCTCTGCTGTACGGAGCACAGCCTCTGCCGCCAGGGAGGCTTTCTCGCGTTGTACTGCCTGACCGAGTCTTCATGTTCTTTATATTATATACTATACATCCTTTGCTTTAAGGCGCCAAGCTTCAGCACCAGCATCTAAACCTTTAAAACCAACCAAAGTTTGTCTAGAGCCTATATCATCTCATGGTGGTTGTCCTCCTTCTATGGCATGATAGCTGATGTAAAACATCTAGGACTTTCAAAGCCGCTGCATGGACCCCACTCACGAAGAAGTAACGTCAAGCAATCATTGTCATAATACTCATTCCTCAAAAATGCACCCAGCATCAATGGGTTGCAAAGTTTTTGGACTGACCTTCAGAATCTGGGCATATTATCATATATAATGTGTATGAAACTTGCACGGCTGAAAACTTGTACTCGAAAAAATGCATCAAACGCCATGTGCTCCTCGAACTCCAGCAGAATCTTCTGCTTCTCTTGTTGCAATGCCTTCACCTGCGACCTGCCAGTGGTTTTGAGCAGCAAACTTTGCAAGCAGTTGAATTCCTTTGTCTGTTTGCATCTCAGAAGCAACCTTCCATGAAATGCAATGGAGAAGAGATATGAGAGACTGCCACCTATGGATCCCTCTCCCTCCAAACCGGGTAAATGTCCAACCCACCAGTGAGAGGAAGCTGTCTATAACGTGTGGTTCCATCCGCTTTGTTGTTGCTTTCTTTTCTTCGCTCTTGGTTTTAGTGCAAAAAAAATACAACTCAATCTTCGAACGACTACAGTCTTCGCTCGCGTCAGTCCTGGCTCTGTCAAGCTCAGCCTTCGACTGCTCCTGGAATGCACGACTATCTGCGGAGGATCGAAACGCGATCTAGTCACGGGACTTGAAGTCTCTGTAAATTTTACGGTGTTCCTGCAATGGCTCAGCGGCTCATGTGCAAAAAGCAAGGAGTAAACCTGGAATGAAACCCTGTCTTCACCCACATTGGATTCTCCCTGCGGTTTGGTAGATGGGACAGGAATCCCCCTTGAAAGCACGACGATTTTGAAAAGCCAGCCACGCTTTGAATTCACTTTTGGTCCTCAAGCTCTGCCTTTTGCTTCTTGCCCTCACGCAGCGACGCCTGCAGCTGCAACCTGCGATTTGCCACAATCCGGGGTTCCCGTGACCCGTGTTACAACACAAACGGGGTGATATGTTCTTCC